CCCCCCCCCCCCCCCCCCCCTGAAAAAAATTCCACATCCAACCTTTTCTCCCCTTAATTGAACTTTATTTAGAGTATTTTACCCATTTCTTCCCTTTATCCAAAGCAAACCTCAACTACTGCATATCATTCAATAGAGAATTACAGGGGCTACAAAATAATATATATTACTGAGAAAAAATGGGGTCCTGATGTCATAACAGTAGAAATACTAACCCGATCTTCACAAAGCGATAGGTCAACAGCGTTCCACGCTTCCATTGTCCAGCCAGTTTATCGTTAACCAGGCCACTTTATATATCATTCGATAGAGAATTTTACGGGCTACAAAATGATATATATAATATTGAGAAAAAATGGGGCCTGAATGTCTTACATTAGAAATACTACTGGAGAGGGATGTTTTCGGAATCGATGGATAGGCTAAGCCCATATAAAACCGTTTACCATCTACATCGGCCGTTCACGTCAGTGACGAGACCTACCTCATATTCTTGAGCTCAGCAAGCCGAACCGACTGGTGAAAACCGCCAGTCTCCAGCCTTGTTAGAAAAGAAGCTATAGGCGTTTTACCGTCGCAACGAGAATACTTCAAGGACAGTGGAAGTGAACTTAAGAGCTATTCTCATCATCAGTTGTTATTCAATTGTCAGCTAGAATATTATCAAACTCATATGTATCTACCTGTGTATATATCATTGTTTTTTACTGCTGAAATTGATTAACTATTCAAGAAATAATAATAAGTGTGTACTAAACTATAATTATCTCAATCTATTGTCACGAGAGATGAGACAAAAGTCAAAAGAAACTTCTCAGAGTCTCAGCTAATGATTTTCGTTTCTCCTTATCTTGGAACATGTTTAGAGAAATTAGATAAAAGAGAGAAAAAAATTGGTCAGATGATCACTTACTCTATGGTCGTCTTTTGTGCTTTTAGTGTCTGCTAACACATGTTACATACTAAGTGAAATTATATTAAAAGATTTTTTAACATTAAGACAAAAATGAGAATTTAACAAATGTATATTATTAAACAATATTCAGCGATTAGTCAAACCCGAGTAAAGGACAGAAGCGGAATCATAGTGGGATAACAGAACAAAAGTATCAATTATTCAAAAATAAATAATAACGAAGAACTATTCAATACCCACTCCACTTAGTATATTAATGTTAATTAAACAAGCAATAAACTCATTAAAGTTAATTGTTCCATTTTTTGATAGATCAATTTCATCAAATTCGAAAGCATGTGTCCGTTGTATTAAACCTGCTTTAACTAAATCGTTTTTCAATCGAAGAAATTCATTTTTATCTAATTCACCGGATTTATCCTTGTCATACGCCTGAAATATTTCCATAATTTTATCAATAATCATTAGTTGCTTAGCATTCAGTTTCGCATTAGCAAAACGATTTTTTTTTCTCCAGAACTGTTCAAATTCGGCATACGATATGCTGTTATCTCCATCTTTATCTACATAAGTTTTTAACCATTCAAATTCGCGATCAGTTAATTCAGAACAATGTTCAGCACATAAAACTTTTAAATCATCAAATGATATTGTGCCATCCTTATCCAAATCATATTTATCAAAAATATGTCTACCCAAAGTCATTGACATTCTTTCTTCTTCTTTTCGATGAGTTATTGTTTGTCTTGTGTGTTTTCAAAATAATAGTAAAATGAAAACACATTATTTATACACAGTGTTTTAATTATCTTCATTCTTTACCTGTGTCAACATGGATTTTTAATAAAATGTTTATGTCGATATCTGTTCTAAAAAAAAAACGTTAAAGTCAATTCACAGCGTGGCCGGTATAGTAAAAATGTAATGTAATGATATTATAAAAAAATTATATGATTTAAAAACAAGTACTTCAACCAAAAGTGAAGAATACATTTCGAAAATTAGTGCTTTTAATGCCCATCAAATCTAAACTCAATTTAAATAGTTTATTTGTACTCTTAGTTACTCAACTGTTGATCCATGTAGTAAAATGTCGTATCATTAATTCTGGCAAATCTTGCCGGGGTGCTTCACCCGACTTGATCATCATTTGATTCTTTAGTAGAGCGTACATTTAAGGATAAAAGCATGAACAGTTGTTTTACTAAAGTTTTTGTAATCTTCCATACCGAGTAAAATTTGAAACTCGCCAAATTGGGTATGCATGTCTGGTCTGGTGCAAAACCAAATCTTTTAACGAATTTAGATCTGTTGACATGGTTTGTCGACGTTTTTTGATGAAGGCCAGTTGATTTCAAATTCATCAGCAAGCATGCGATCATACATGGTAGTAACCTAACAAGCAGGTCTCATTGGAGCTTTTGATAACGATGGTAATACTGCCGCACTTGTCAAATGTAGATTTTCATTTGTATGTTTGCCGACATTTAATTCAAGTTTGTATCATTGATATTTCGTGAAATTTTCGTAGCAAAGCATAATTTTTGATATACGTCTTGCTTATCGATTGAATTTGATCTGAATAATAAATATTTCGGAAAAATACTGATGATGCGTTAAGACTTTAGTTCAACACTAAGAAATATCATTCTCATTAACTAAAAAAATATTTAAAGGTCAATCAGTTATACGTCGATAGAGTATTCGTCCATTCTAGGCTGTTAGTTCAGCGATTTAAGCTTCATCCCTCGGAGGTTGAATTATACTATAACGACATATGTTTAGAAAAATCAATCATTTAATCTCAGAAATTAGATACAAATGACTTTATTGGAATATAATTTACACTTGATTTACCTTCATCTTCTTAAACTGATGAATAAAAGGTGGCCCAGAAGTTCTGTCTCATTCAATATTTTCTCAATATTTCGGTCAAGTTTGATCGCCAACTCTCAATCCTTTCTTTTAAAAGAAATCTCATTTAATTCTCTACACAAAACACACTGAACATTTCTTTAAATACTATAAGAATATATAGAGGAAAGACAGGAAAGTTTCAATATCGATAACTTTCAAACTTAAAGCGCCACCAAAAAATATTTATTTTGAACACGATGCTATGCATCAAAGTGGAATCGAAATGTATTTTCTGGTGCTCCAGGATATCAGCTTTCTTTTCTTGTATCATAAATTCGCTACAAACCTTTTTTCCTGTCACAAACACAGATGAACAAAAGGGGAAAATTTGACTTCTTCGCCTTGGTACAGGAAACGAAACGGGGTTATTCGACTTTCTCCGTTCGAATGCAACAGAAAAATCATTTTGCTTCAACATAAACCAGATCTAAAGTCATAATATGGGATTTGGACCAAATCACACAAATTGCCTAAGTGTCTCAAAACGGCGGTTAGAAAATGATGATTTTGGGCAAAGTCACTAAAAGAACAAAACTCCCGCGATCGTTTGAGCCTATGAAGAGTCTTAAATATAGCCAGTTGAGAGAGCTTTTCGAGAGCTAAAAAATGGTCGTTATCTCTTTTTTCATATCGTAAATAATTAACTGTAATAAGTGACTGAAATTCAAAAACCTGCTTTTTAGGTTTGAAAGTAATCGATATTAAACTTTTCCCGTATTTCCTTTATATCTTTTTATTCGTATAGTATATAAAGAAATGTTTTTTTTTTTTTTATTTAAACATAGCAATAAAATGTGGGTAAATCGGGGTAAGCCCCATTGTATGCCCATGATAGAGAAAAAAAAGGCACATTAATCAAAACAAAAATCCATTGAGAAAAAAGAATGAGTCTACATTAAAGAAATATCGTATGTGTGTATAATAGATGACAAAAGGAAGAGATGTAACTTAGGAGTAGATACATTGATCCATGTGTGCCAGTGGGATAAGAGAAGATAGTAATAATAGGGCCTTAAGGCATAAACCGCCCGGTACGTTTAATAAAGTGCAGTATTACTGAAAAGACTGCAATTAATTGCTCAACTGGTAGCTGTCTAATTGTTACATCTCTTAAAAGCAGCTGATCAAGGTGAATTATATCACAATTCAACAGCACTTTGAGTTTTTCGAAAAGCTCGTTCCTCCGCTGGTCGTAATGTAAGCAGAGTAAAAAATAGTGAGTAGTGCTTTCCTTTTCTCCGCAAGAACAAAGTGGTGATGAGACGAGTTTACGGTGATATAAAGGCTCATTCAACTGAGAAAACTCAACCCGAGGACGGAGATGGTGAATTTCAAGTCGACGCTCAGAGACTAGTAGTAGTTTCAACGCAGAAATAAAGCTAGGCGTCAGTTTAGATTTAAAAGTATCAGCTCGATGAGTATACTTGATGTCATCCTGCAGAAGATTCCAAGAAGCGCATGTTTGCCTGATAAATGATCTATCTACGAACTGTCTACCTCGTGGAATGACTGGGATCATGTTGCGACTAACGCTGCGAGTGGCATAGGTCAACTGTGTATTCACTGGTATTAACTCCTTTAGATAACTAGCTGTTTTTCCATACATTATTTTGTGAAACAAACACAATCTACGAACATAAATAAGGTCCTAGATTGCTAGCCATCCCAAGTCGTACAATATTTTTTCATATGATGCTCCTCGCATGGCTCCAGAAACTGCTAAGGACGTTTGATACTGTATCTGGTTTAGCCGATTTAGCTCAGCAGCATCTGTCCCTCCATATATAACTATCGCGTCACGCGATAGCTAAGCTAAGAAAACAAAAGAAAAACACTCCATAATCACATCGACATCGTGCCGAGTTAATTTTTAAAAATAGATACCGTCTGGCTTTTGAGATACAGAGTCACCAATGTCACTCTTTTGGCTTCATCAAAATATAGAAATTGTTTCTCATTGAGTAGTTAGATCAGTTTTAAGTGGACTTTTCCCACTATGCAGATTTCTCTTCGGGTCATGGTGGTCGAAGGAGATGTGTGACCAAGTTTGTTTTCGCACTAACCGCGATTAACGCTGTCATGTGAACATAGTGTATGTCATGACAGAACACCAGAGCAGAATAAAAATCCAAAATAATTGAATACGTACAACGTGGACGGCGACTACATTCTACGCATATATTTCATTATGCCGAAGAATTATTAAAAAAGTAAATAATAAAACTAATAATAAATAATTAAAAAAGAAATAATTTAATAATAAAAAAAAACTAATTAAAAAAGAAAGATTAGATGAAGAATTTGAAATAAATCGCCACGCACGCTTTCTTCCTGTTACGATAAAAACTCGAAACACACACTTTATGTGACTCTATTTACTTTGGCAGGATATTATCTTTTCTAAGCATACGCTGAATGAATATTTTCACAAAAATATAAAATTTCTTCATTTGTTATGTTTTCCAAACAGAAGTGTATGACAAGGGCGTTGTTTTAGACACAACTTGTATAAATTTAGCATGTACTTAATTATACATAATTGTTTATCAATTTGTAATTGTTTATGATCAATATACAATAAAATTTCTCATCAGCGCACTAAAGATTATCTTCCTTATCGATATAATATCGACAGATATTCGATGAAACTAGATTTTGTTCTTCTCTTATATTAAATCTAGGAAGAAAGCTGTCGAATATATCAGTGAATTACAACAAAAAGATCTGAGACGGCTATCTTGTTCCCCGTCATTTTCTGTGTGTGGGATAAAAATTTCCCGACTACCAGACCTCGTTTAAATGGGAAAATCCAGAATGAAGTTTGCCCCCTTTTATTGCAGGCTGACGAATACAAAGTAGTGATTTCTTTTCGTCATAACTTTGTATACAAAGGCAACAGACACCTGCGGTTTTCAGTACTACTAAAAGGGAAAAATTTGCTAAAACTTATATGGAAAAAGACGTAAAAGCGCCATTTGCTCAAGGTGTACTAAGCGAAAACTTTGTACAAATGACGAAAATCACTCGAATAACACCGGATTTCAAGTTGCAAGATGTGCTGTATATAGTAAGCCATAAGCTCTGCACTTCTAGGCATTAGCCAGTTCTCTATCTTTGAACAGGCCAAAGCTAGGAGGGTTTTCGCGGACTTGCCTGTATATTTATCCAGTCAAGATCATGAATGCTAGAAACACCAAAGGCTTAGGTAATCAAACGAGCCGAAGCGAAAGTGCCGGTCACTTGAAGTGAAAAGATCCGTTTTAACGTGACCATAAAATTGCACGAATTTTGTAGGTAAAAGGCTAATTCAAGAACAGCTTGTGTCCCGGCTTGACACATTTCGTGCAGAAAAATCCACCTGACACCTAAAAGCTTAAAAAACATTCTAAAGCTGCTTCTGTTTTCCTTTGTGCTCTTTACTTTGTGAAGAACAAAAACATTTACATCGCTATCGGTCATTTGGGTACCGGAGTCGAATTTTCTATAACCTGGCTTGAGGCACCACGTCAGTTAGCATCGCATAGTGATCAAATTAAAGTTAATCGCTTACTTTTATGCTTTCGTTTCAAAACAAAAATGGATCGACAGTTGACATTTTCACGATTAGTTTTCCTTGCGCTAGAACCGCGGAAAGCAGAAACCACAGAGTTGGAGTTGGAAGTTTGTTTTTGGATGGTCTAATGAATGTGGGGGACCTCTAGTAAAGGTTTGGTACAAAAAAAAAGAAGCAAAATATTCATACAGAAAACGCTGAGGTGGAAAAGCCTTAAGAGAAGATTCGCGCAAAACTACTGCATATTCTATGAAAACTCACTTAGTGGCAACCCAAGAGGTCTGTGGTAGGAGCCTATGCTAAAAAATGCCGAAAAAGAGCTACGAAGAAAAAATCTTACGTGTCCGAATCCAAAAAACATTAAAACAAAGGGAGGTCTCAAAAAAACGGTGGCTTCATTTTTTGCGGCATAACGCAGATTTGCTCAGGCAATTTTTGGTCTACAAATGTGAAATTTTTACCACAGCGTCACAGGCGTATTCTACGTGTTCGATGAAAGTTTCATCCAGTTTCGTTCTTCCGTTCAAAAGTTATAGATAGATCAAGAAGAGAAAAACAAGGCTTCAAAGTGTGTGAAAAAAGGAATTTTGCTTTTTTTCTCCAACAAAGTAACTTATATGGTTTTTGATTTTATCTAGACTTTGTGTCCCCCGAGCTGCTCTTTCTTTTGGCACAAGACTGAAAAAGCTATCTCCTAATTTGGGTGAGCTATATGCATTTTGGTGGGAGGCATCAAAGTGTACGTAAAAGTAAAACTGCGAAAAAGTACAGCCTAAAATGTTACAAACGGAAAAATGAAAGCATGGTTTGATAGCAAATTTAGCGCTCTATAAGATGCACTACTCATTTTTTATCGATGTTGTGCTTTTTTGCTGCACAAATTGCACTTTTTGACAGGCTACTTTTGCAAAATACTATTTTTTACAACTTTCAACGCTAATAACTTGGTCAATTGGAACGTTTGGAAGCTGAAATTTTTACCGGTAGTGCGAGATGTGCTGGTGAGTCAAACAAAAAAAAATTTTTTAAAATCAGTTCTCAGGAGAAAAGGTTAATGCAGAAAAACACCTGACTCAGTGATTGTACAACTATAATGCAATTCAACCATATAGAAAGAAAAAGAGAGAAAACAGACGGAAGAATAAGATAGAGACGTTACTCGATGACGTTTCTTCGAATGAGTAGCATCCACGGTTAGCAATAGAGAAAGAGAAAGGCGGTGATAAATCCATCGCCCGTCTATACATAGTAAAGTAACAACAGTAAAAAGAAACAAAACTAACTGTTGTCTTGTCACTAAACCGACTGATCTATACTGAAAGAAACAGTTATTAGTTTTCGGTTTTTTACTGACATTTGTAGCTGCTTTCTAACTTTATTCATTAAAACGATGAAAACAAACAGACTCGTATGACGTGAAACAGCTGCAGTTCATACATGTCAGAGCTCAAAACATATTATTAAACACTTAAAGTGACACTTAACTCGGAAGTGCACAAACTTAAAGTGAGGTTTTTTCCCCTTAATTTTGACCCTTGAAAAGTTTTTTGGAAGACCTAAATACACATATTCGGCATCAGCTACTATATCGACGAGCTCTATTCAACCATATATATAAATTGAAAAAGAAAAGCGGTTGAATTTTGAATTTCCTACACCTTACAAAGATTGAAAGCAACTAGAGTAACTTTTTCGGTAGTGTCAACTGTGCTCGTTCAACAACTAAAAAAACAATTAACAAAAGTGAAATACTAGACTTACGAGGGAACCTCACCAACTGATACCCTCTGTTTGAGCTCATACTCTGCTCATAGGTAGG